TAAGATTAAAAGTATAATTGTTCAGGTAAAATTGATTAAATAGGAAGTGAATCACTTAGCAAGCAAGCATGGATACAGAACAGGGGCTTTTCCTGTAGGGGATTGGGTTACTGACTCCTCCTGGCTTTTTCAAGGTGGTTGATACCTATTTAGAATATTAATCCCTGATGTCCATCCCTAGGGAGATATGTGGGTGCATTTGTTTAATCTTTTGTCTTGAGGTCTGGCCCACAGAGGAAGTGCCTGTCACTCCCATAGTTGCAAGGTATCTTTTCTTCCATATTGGCTCCTTCAAAGGCCTGGCCCTGTCTGACTGCCTATATTTCTATCTAACTCAGGTGCCTGTGACACTTGCAATGTGAAGTGCTTGGGGTGGTGAAGATGGTTTAGCTCTCTGGGGAATGTCTGGGGTCTAGATTCAGCAGGAATGGGGTATATGCATGCCCCCAGATACCCATGGGTCACACTCCTGTTCCTCACTTTTTGGAAAGTCCAAGATGGAATTCCAGTGCAGTGTGAAGGACATGAGGGCCATTGGTGACCTCAGCCTAGGGCCTCTCATTGCCTGCCTTGGAGGCTTCACCCCAGAAGTGTTCACAGCAGGCTGCTCAGCCTCGCAAAGTGTGGATGCTTCCCAATTATCTCTCAGAGAACAAATACAACTTTTGTTTTACCTTCTAATTTTATAGCAAATAAGTAAAATAAGATATACTAGACTTAATGGTCTTCAAATTCAGGACAGAAAGAGAATTCTCTATTCTATTTTCCCGTAAATGCCCCAGTGTCTTTGATAGTATTTTTAATAAAGAAGAGATAACTCAAAATCAGAATGGAAGAGAAAACATTACAACTGATGCCACAGGGACACAAAGGGTCATAAAAGACTACTACAAACAATTATATGCCAACAAATGAGACAACTTAGAAAAAATGGGTAAATTCTAGAAACATACAAATTACTGAGACCAAATGACAAAGAACTAGAAAATCTTATTAGACCAATAATGAATAATGAGGAATTGAATCAGTAATTTTTAAAAAATCTGTCGTCAAACAAAAGCCCTGGATGAGACTGGTTCACTGCTGAAACTACCATGCATATAAAAGAAGAACAATTACCTGCCCTTCTCAAGCCCTCCCCAAAAGCTGAAGAAACGGGGAATACTTTTCAACTCATTTTGCAAGGCTAGAATTTCCCTAGTACCAAGGCCAGGTGAAGAAACAACAAAAAAGAAAATTGCAGGCCATTATCTCTGATGAGCATTTGCGTAATATTCACAGACACAGTAAGGAAGGGTGAGAAGCTAGGATTGAAATGAGGGACTGCATCAAACCAATGGCTGGCAAAACCAGTTACCCTATATGGGTCTGCAATTTCTGGGCCATTCAACAGTGGATTTAGGGATGAGGGAAATTAGCACTGTGAATGGAATCCCAGAAGACCAGTTCCATAGGTGGCTTTTTTCAAGCAAGTTGCCCTGAGGTTTCCTCTCAAAGCAAATTCTTTCACTTTTCCACCAAGGGGTCAGAAAGAGTGAGGTCTTTTGGATTCCTCTCATGTCCTCAAGGCATCCTTTGTATTGTACCATCCAAAGCACTTGGCTTCCTTTTAATGTTTATCTTTTTTAGCAACTAGAATTTCTTCCACTTCATCTTTACAGTCCCCAACTTTACTGGAGTTTCCTTTCTCGGCCAAACTCAAAACTCCTAAAAGTTCCCAATACTGCCCATGCCACAGCTCTAAAATTTGCGCTGACCTAAAATTTCCTCCGACAGTTTGATTATGCTCTCCTTAACCTCAATCTCCTGCAGTCTCAGGACCTGAGCAAGATGCAGTCAGTTTTTCTTTGACAGCACAACGCACAAGGCCTGGAGTCCAACTGCCATGGAATCCTCGGTCCCAACAGAAACTTTGAGCCTGGTCCTCAGAGTCTGCATTTTTATCAGCATTCTGGTATTCTGAGCTCTGACCAAAATCCTCCAAGAAGCGTGGCTTACAGCATTCTCAGGCTGCTTCCCCAGATGGCATCTCCAAACCTTTCCAAACTCCTTCTGCGAACCACTTCGCAAAGCTTCTGAACCATGTGATCAGGTAGCATCGCAGCAACAGCCCTGCTTCTCTGGTCCCAAAATCTATCTTAGTCACTGTTCTGGTTGCTGAGAAACAATGGCCAACACTCACAATTTAAAGGAGTAATCCTTAGATAATATAATTATTTTCAGGTTTAATTCAGCTTATAATGTGAATTAATTGAAGCAGCACCTGTAGATACATACTAGAGATATTCATATTCAGTATATATGTTCCTCAAGGAACCCCTCTCTCAGCTCTAGCGTCCTGCTCCTAACTGACCTACCATCATGTCCCGTAGGGGTCCAGAGCCATTAATACAATTTCTGTCAATTCTTGCATTCTCCTACACTCAAGGTTACCTCTCACATCTTGTTTTTCCTGGACCCCCTTTCTCCCCAGCCTTTGCATTTCTCTCCTCATCACACACAGGCACACATGGCCTTTGTAGCTCTCTTACTTCTCTAAAACATTTACAGCACTGGTCAGCTATGTCCAATAAACTTTTCATACTTCCTATGGCTGGTGTGTGTCCTAGTGTACGTGTTATGCAGTAGCAGAGAATGGCTCCTCACTGAAGATGTATTTAGACTTCTGGAGTTTTAAAAAGTCCCTGGCGTCTTGCCAGCCTGAAATGTCTTGGCTGACCCGCATGTCCTCAGTTCCAGCCATAAGCCTGCTTCCCACTCATACAAATCCTTCTCATAATCAAGAAGAAGTTCTTTCTGCAGAGCTACAGGAACATGGCCCGTGGTAGTGCAAAATGAGACCTGATGCTGGTCATCCTGAGTGTGACTGGCAGGTGAACCCCCAGGTCTTGTCTCCATCTGAAAATTTCTAACCAAGAGACATGTGGACTGCCTGTGTTCTCCATTTCAGGTAAACAAAGGGGGACCAAGCCAGGGTTGAATGTCTTCTCCAGGCTGCCATGGAGCAGTTTGAGGTGAGTGTCACAGACTGTACTGCATGGACTTGCTGGATGCCACAGAGCACGAGGGAAGAGTGCTGGGATGTTGGGGTCACTTCTGCCTTGTGTTCATGAGTCAGACATTCTCTTGATTTGCTATGTGACGCTTTTCACATTGTTCAACCCCTCCAGGACTTGAGTGTAAAAAAGGATGTGATAAGTCACAAGAATGAGGTCAGAAATTTCTGTAGGGAAGCCTAAGGCATGAGTGGCACTTGGACAGTACTTTATTTTAGCTTACTGTATTCTTTTACTTTTTAGTTTTATTGTGCTGGGAATGGAACCCAGGGCCTCACACATGCTAGGCAAATGCTCTACCACTGTTACATACCCAGCCCCAGTATATTATAAATCTTACCTGGAATACAAAATGTATGACACAAAGTGAGCAACAACCAATCAATGGCCCATGTTTGTTATTCTTGTCATTCAAAGCAAGTGAAACTAATAAGTGTCTGCTGTACCCCTCAGTTCTTGCTTTATTTATTTTAGTACTGGGAATAGAACTCAGGACCTTGTGCTTGCCAGGCGAGTGCTGTGTCACTGAGCTATATCCCCGGCCCTGGCTTTTTTCACTCTACAGAACTGAACCCCTCAGATCCATGTCAGGGCACTTACTCTGGACAATGAAAATACCTGATTCCTGAGTGGTCATTGTCACTTCAGTTTGAATAAACAATTCACTCCCCCGTGGTGTGCCTCAACTTGCCTTCTAGGTAGCCTCATTGCCTCAAATAGCCTAAAATGCAGAGACCTTTTGACCTGGTTGCAGGCTCATGGTCAGGCCTGCATGCAGGTCCTGGCTTTGGGTTGTTCTGCCAGGTAGTCACAGGGAATCTCAAAGGAGGAGAAAAGGGGACCCTGTCAAGGCCTAGGAAGAAGTTCTGATGCCACAGTTGAACAGAGGTGAAAAATTCCTATGGATGGGGGCTCAGGTCAGGAGTGAGAACCTGGAGCAGAGTCTAAGCAGGGGCTTAAAGGTAGTTGCTGGTTGAGATGCCGTCAGGAGACTGTCAATTTCTGTCTTTGCCTGAGTGTGGAGAAAGGACAGCTGGTGTCAGTGGAAGCTGAGAATGCATGGGGCTGCCAGCCAAAGGAAAATGCAAGCACTAGCACTGGAAGTGCAGCGTTACCCTTCTAGCTTTGGTTTTGCCCACAGTTCCCTCTTTAGGTAGCTCGGAGGTGAAGAAATTCCTAGAAAATCAGAACAGAAATTTGACGCTTTGATTGGGACAGGGAGAGAGGAAACCACTAACATCAGGAGGGTCCAGGCAGGGGTCCAGTTGCCTTTCTGTCGCTGTGATAACATACCAGAGAAATGACTATTTTGGCTCATGCTTTAGGGACTTCAGTCTGTGGCTGCGGGCTCACGGTTGGGAGAACATGGTTGAGAGCACATGGTGGAGCAACACTGCTTAGCTTATAGAGGACTGGGGTGGGGGAGAGAGGGACAGGAATCATCCAGGGTGCCAACATACCCCTCACGATGCTCTGGTGACCTCCTGCCTCCCATTAGTCCCTGCCTCCTCAAGGTTCCATCACCTCCCACTAGTACCAGCAGCTGGGGACCAAGTCTTCAGCACAGCAGGCTTTGTGGGATTCTGCCCATCCACAGGACCATACTGGCCCTGCTCTGAGAAGACATCTCTGTGCCTGGCCACAGGCTACCAGTGGGGAGAGCTCTGAGTCCAGGAGCAGGTGGGCAGTGCTAAGTATGGGGTGCTTTGTGTGCGAATGACAAGCTGGCTCTGTGCTCGGTCTGGAGATACACTTGTAGGTGTGTCCACACCAGCATGTTTGTGCACTACCCTGCATTTTGTCTTGGCAGATACATTCTATTTGTTGGGACAAGAGGAAACAGCTGATATTCTTGCATTCTAATGACTTGTGGCTCCACCCCCCGGGTGAGTAATAAGGCCTTCCTCCCTTCTTATTTGCTTCCCTGCTGATATTTCTCTGTAGCTGAGGAGAACTGCAGACAGCTGTGATGGGCCCAAGCCTAAGAGACCCCTGTCTGTCCTGGGCCTCATGGCTCCTAGGAGTCATCGTTTTCCTCAGTGAGTAGCCGGGGATCCCTGGAAGGGAGGGCAGTTAACAGACACTGGGATGATTGGACGAACCCTTCAGTCCGGAAGCCTGTTAGTCTCTGAAGTCCTTGGGAAACAAAAGGGGAAAGTTACTCTGCTACGATTTAAGAATGTGGCATGGTTGGTAGTGCTTTGGGGTGAGTGGCGAGGAGGCTGGGAATCCTGAGTTAGGGTGACCGTGGCTAACTGAGGGGATATCTACCAGGGAGAGCGTCTGCCTATGTGTATCAGCAAGGAGCAGGGGAGCAGCCCAGGGAAAGTGATGGAGACAAGCTAAGAAGCTTGACGGAGGGGTAGAGGGATGAGGACACATTGTCCTTTGCCTGGAACTGAGAGGGTCCTCACCGCCTCTGCTGCTGTCTTGTGGAACACAGCTGAGCTAGCCCTCTGGGGTCTGAGTCAGAGGAAGCTGCTGCGGTCTGGGCTTCCCAAGCTTCTCCAGTGAACAGCACTGACCCTCCTTGACCCGGCTTGGGCTCAGCTCCAAGCAGATCCTCACCATGAGAGGCCCCCAGAGGTCTCAGGTGCATCTTAAAACTTGTGTGTGCAGTCCTCATTTCACCTTGGTGCTCATTTAAAATGTGAAAATGAATCGGTCTTTGGTGGGATGAGTACTGCCAAAAGAAGCCTTTAACATTCCTGTGAGTTACCCTCTTCCTTCCATCCCGAAATGCTGATCAGGTCCTGAGACATTGGGTGGAAGCTTTTTTTCTCAGCATTGTTCCTGTCAAAACACTTAAAAAGCAGAGGAGTTACCCATCAATCCCAGAACAAATTAACAGATTGAGGAGTGTTGTACCATGGCTTCCTGCCAGAGGGTGGGCTGTGCCTTGTAGGCACCTGCGCTGAGAGAGAGAGAGTTTGGATATCTTTTTAAGACTTTAAAGAGTTACTCCCAGGATTCGGGGAACTAAGGGGATCACCACTGCCTTATCTAATGGATAACATTCATGCAGATTACTGTGGAATGTTGCTATTTCAAAAATGTTCCCCTATTCTTTTCACAAAGCCAAGGTTCTCTCAGGGGGCTTAGTCACTTAAGAACCTTAGGGGACAAAAGAGCTCATAATCAGGTCTCTGCCCAAGGTGGGAGGGTCTTTAAATTTCACTCTCCTTTCTGATTTCTTTGGGCCATAGGCCATAGCAACCAGGAATGTTGTGTGTCTTGTCTTGGAAAGAGATAGCTCAGGGTCATAATGAACGTGCACGACGTATATCTTTAAAGTTTCATTGTGCTCTGTCATTGCTTTGGTTCTGAAACATAACAAAATGATTGTAAATCTATTATACTTTCTTCACTTATCTATAATTGGCGGATCATGCTACTTTGGACTCTCTTTGTAGTTCCAGGCTGATAATGTTTAAGTATCTGCCTAATAGTTCTCTTTTCTAGGAAGTGGGCAGTCTGGACAGGCTGGTTTTTTAAACATTAAGCCACAGATGTCTCTGTTCTGCTCAGCCACTCCAAGCACTTGTTTTCCCTTCCGGGGGGCACACAAGGAGGAGGATAAGACTCCAGCAGCTATTCAGGTCCTGGAAGGGCTAGCAGGCAGTGCAGGGAGGGTGCACACCAGAGAGGGAAGGGAAGTGCAGAGACCTGAGGGCAGTGTTCTGGGCTCCATGTCCAACTCTGTCCTCTGTGACCTCAGACAGGTCCACTTTCCTGGGGAGCCCTCTCTTCCATAACAGGATGGTGCTTGGATAGATTATCTCCGAGGCCCTTCCTGTAACTGGCACAGCAAAGTGAAACTTTATTTTTAAAAAACTGAAAAATCATTTTTATTAGTACATGTTTGCAGTCTTCCTGGAGAAGACCCAGGGTTGTCCCTGTGGCCACTTCCTCAGCCCCCAACAGAATGAAGAGATTCTCCTCTTCAGACTTCTCCACCTGAGCTCCAGAGGGTGTTCTCAGGGCTCCTGAGAACTCTCAGCTCCCCTGTGCAGGGACAACATCTCCCTGCTCACAGCCTGTGGAAACTTGGTCCACAGACCACACTCAGGAAGGCTGCACAGCTGTGCCGGTTAGAAGCTGCTAATAAAAGTCTTAGCCAGGGCTTTGCAGTTCCTGTCTGTGCAGCAACAGAAGACACTGCCTTGTTTCTGGGTGAATCTCTCACAGTGTTGGCATGGAGGGCAGCAAACCTTATTTTGACCAGAATCATCCCTGGAAGTCCGAGGAAGGTGCCCCTTTGAATTGGAGACACTGTCTCTCAGTGAAATCGGTTGGTTTATTGCCATGTTCACTTATATTTACAGTTCCTTGTTGTACTGACAGTGACTGGTGCTTACTGCCTGTTGCACCAGGAGACAATATTATGGCATTGGTGTCGTAGGAAGAGCTTTCTTGCAGGTGTATAGGCCAGGAGGCAGAAGGCAGGCACAAAGCTGCTTCCCCATGGGATTGGTGGGTGAGGACGGATTTGAGGAGCTGGAGAAGCTGACAGCTGTACCGGGGAATCACAGTGGCATAGTCTGCGCTGCACACACTGGGCCCTGTGGAAGTTGTGGACTCATTGCAGTTGGGAGTTTCCGGTCTTTCCACTACTCAGTCTGTTTTGCAACTGTGCACCACGTTCTACCTTCTAATCTAAGCTTGTAAGGCTGTTCTGCTATTGCGTTCCACCTCTTGCAGGCTTTTGGTTTTGTTTTGCTCTCAGAGTCTACAGTTGTTTCCTGAACAACAGCTTCCTATCAGTTTTTAGAAATGGGGAAGTTTTGGTTTTATTGCTAGTTTCAGTGGGAAACTTTCACATTTCAACATGTGACTAACTCTGAATGAAATATATGAGCAAGGTGTTATACGATCCTTTTACTGTATCCCTCTTATTAATTATCAAAGGGACCATGGGATGCTAAAACTGCCGCAAAAGGAAAATCAAGAGACACCTGTTCAGGCCAGCATGCACCCTACGATGCCTTTACAAAAAGGTGCCTGGTCACATGGGTCTGGAGCATTTCTGGGTACCTGTCATCTACTGTGTTTACTTTGGGAGGGGACACACTTTGAAGTTGTGCTTGAGGAACTCAACATCTCATATAATTGTTCTCTTTGTCACATATAGTACCTTTCTACTATAGTACAACCCACTAAAGAGAGGGGGAAAGGTGCTAACCAAATAGTTAATTATTATTTAGCTCAGGCTTGGGATAAGAAGTTCTCTCCCCCCCCCCCCACCGCCCTGCCCCTTGGTCCACAGATGTTTTCAGGCACTTGATAACGCGGGAGTTGGTGGTTATAGTGTGGGCACAGATCAGTGAATTTCTTTTTAAGCCCAAGGTATTGGTAAGCACAGAACCAGGGTGGACCTTGAAACTTGAGGCACCATGAAATTGAGCCACGGGATGTTTGACTTCCTGGAGCCCCTCCTTGTGCTCAGGAGGGGACCCTGAGAGGGTAGGTGGTGGTGAGGAAATTACACCAGCCTGGGAACAGGGACGGTCTGGTTTTGACACAGGTGTAACTGATGTAGCAATACTTAAAATGATGATGACGGTGGCTAATATTAAGGGGACAATTACTGAATACTGTGCTGGAAGTATTTCTCTGCTTAAATCCAAAGAATAGTTAATTGAAGTACACTATCTCAGTGATGATGAATATTTTAGAGACTGAGTGCCCAAACTGCAACTTGAAACCCACCGATTGCGGAGTTCCAACAGTACCCCATGTGCCCTCTTATCCAATACTTGACTATTGGGGCGATCAATGCAGGGGTGAACTTGGCCCATGTACCCACAGAGAGGGATCTCGTGCCCACTGCGGCTCATGTGCTATAGGTTCACCACCACTGCACTATTTCCACTTAATAGATGAGAAAACCGAAAGCAGAGAGATTAAATAACTGCTCATGTTTGCACAGCCAGAAGATGGAGGACCTGGACTCAGATCTCATCTCACTGACCCTTGTCTTGCCACTACTGCAATACACCATCTAACTACGTCACCCACATGACACCAGAATAAATTTCAGGTGCATCAAAGACTAAACATTAACACTGAAATCATGGAAGTAAGAAAGAAAAGTAGAGAAAATAAAAAACCTTCACCTTTTTGAAGTGAAGGCGCTTCTTACAAGATATGAAATCAATAAGGTCTAAAAAATTTGATACTTTTAACTTCATGAAAGGAATATTTTGACCCATGGGTAGCAAGCTATCCTGGATTCAGTGGAATTCCAATAAACATTTCAAATGGCATTTTTCTTTTTTTATTATTATTTTATAGAGAATAGTAAATGGGAAACAAAGAAATAGAACAGTAGCAGCGTACCAGTATCACAAAAATAAACAAATCAAAGCAAGAACATTCAAAGTGATACAGAGTCTCAAGGCAAAATAATACGAGTCAACAGTGGTTGTTACATTACCTATCGCTATGTTCAACAATATTGCTCAGATTACCAGATGTAAGAATGAAAGATTGCTCAAACCATTATAGGGAATAAGAAAATAATTCTTCTATAAAACAGTAGAGATAATACAGAGTTTCAAGAGACAAGATGGTACGAGTTCACCATTGTAACTCCACTGCATATTGTTACTTTCAAATCAGTTGATCAGACCACCAGACACAAGCATGCACAATCGATTAGAACATAAAAAATTGTAATCAACTGTTCATTTCAATACACCATCAGACATCAGCAATACAGTTATATTTTGCATTCCTTCTTCTTTTTTCTTCTTTCCCTCATCCCAGTTGTTCCTTCCTTTGAGCAATTTCTTTCCCTTTCCTATCATCTATTGTATGTTTTGAGTTTTACCTAGTCTTTCAGATCCCTACACCAAGGAGACAATATGATGTTTACCCATCTGGGTCCGATTTATTTCACTTAAGAGTATGGTCTCTAGTTGCATCCATTTACCTACAAAAGCCTCGAGATTATCTTTTTTAATAGCTGAGTAACACTTCATTGTATAAAAATACCACTTTTTTTAATCCATTCCTCAGTGGATGGGCATTTGGTTTT